ACATACGTTTGCTTCATCGACACTCCCACCAAAGAATATGATATAGCAAAGAGGCCTGACCTTCCTTGAAGTTTACTTATGCCCTGTGACTCAAGGGTACTCGTGGCAGTGTAGCCGAGTGGTTAGCGTGTCAAGCTTCCATCCTGCACTATCGCGGTTCGACTCCCGCTGAGGGTGTTGATAAGACCGGTGCGAGGTCGAAACTGCAGTCCATCCTGGATGAGAACAACTTTTGGGAAAGCAAGGCTATGTCGAATTCAATGGCAACATCAGCTCAACACATATGATTGTGGGAAAATTCTACTACCAGTCCTTCATCACCTTAGGCGAAATAGGGTGAATATATCTCATTACACTGATTTACTGGTAATCTCGAAACCCTACTATCATACGAATATAAACTTATATCCATCCTCCTGCCTCTATGGTCATAGCTACGGCGCAATGCCGGCGAACATCTTCAAAAATGACCGTTGGATGTAAAGAAGGAGTAGGCCACAAGCGCGACTTCAAACGACGTCGTAGAAACTGACCACTGTACTAAAACAGGATAGGCCAAGACTTCCTAATCTCCTTCTTTTAAATCAAGTCTGTCTTCAGCAGAACAAATAAGCCTAATCTAGTCAAGCCATTCTGATATAATATGATATGAGAAACTGCCTGGCCTTCCTTGACATTAACATCTTCCCTGTAACCCAAGGACACTCGTGGCAATATGGTGTAGTGGTTAATGTGTCGAGATTACACGCTACAGTATTATGGTTTGAATCCCGCTGTGGGTGTTGATGAGACCAAGGCGAGGTCGACACTAGAGTCCACTTTGGATGAGAACACATTTTGGGAAAGCAAGGCGATGTGAACTTCAATGGAAATATCACCTCCATTCATATCAATGTGGGAAAATTTAACTACTAGTTCTTCATTACCTTAAACAAAACAGAATGAATACATCCCACATGACATTTTTCCGATACTCAATCGACAAGCTCTAGATTTTTTGGGGGATTGTGAAAATGGTGGTACCTAAAATCAGATCCAATTTGTGACAAGTCTCAAATGCATCCAAAATACTTTATTTTTTAGTTTTTTTCAAAAGTTTATTTGCTTTTGCATACACCCTAGCTGAAATGCCTATTATTATGCCAAAAAATTGCTACATAATTTAGTTGAAAGTGGGTCAGAGGCTTTGCGGTTGTATCTTGCAAACAAAAAGGAGTCTCAAATAAGATTACCCATCCTGGCCGGATAGTGTTCTTGCTTTAGTTTTAACGTGAGACTCTTACAAAAATGAAACCTAGCTCTGATGATGTTCATCATAGGATGGACAAAAGCTCAGCACGTTTTCACCCGAAACGAGGGAGGAAGACCCGTGGACTGCGTCAACATGAATATCATATAAAAGCCGAACGGCTGCAGTACAACGATTTTCATCCGTACTCATCGGGTGAGATCGACAAACGAATCTCTTCTTCATGCACTTTCATTTGAAATGAAGGTCCCCTTAACAATGTTATTTCAGGAGATTCATCGAAACCAAGTTTCTCTTCGTATTTATAAATTCTTTCTAACTGAGCAATACGGCACGTGCCATTATTGTACATAATCCACTATTAATGTCTCCTTCCTGTCCCTGCTGAACTCCCTTGCTAGGGCTGGTA